TTAGGCCCCTCAGCCTCACCTCCTGGCTCGCATGAGTGACACGGGTAGATCTTGGTGGAAGTAGGCGTTCCGCCAGGTATCGAGGCCCTAAACCGTTTAGGGCTTTCTACGTAAGCATCAACACTTTGAAGTTGATGCAAAATCGGATGGGCAGCCAATGCAAAGCGGTCAGAGTGGGTGAGATATGTTTTTTTTTCTCACTCCACTAAGTAATCTGACCGCCGCATTCTGCACCACCTGTAGTTTCCGAAGCAACCTCAAAGGTAGCCCCACGTAGAGCGCATTACAGTGGTCTAATCTTGAGATTACGAGCGCGTGTACCAAGGTAGTGAGCGCCCCAACATCAAGGTAGGACCGCAGCTGAGCTATCCGCCTGAGGTGAAAGAAGGCGGAACGGACCACCGACGCCACCTGGGATTCCATAGTAAGCGCCGGGTCCAGGTGGATCCCCAAGCTGCGGACCCCATCCTTGGCAGGCAGAGTCACCCCCCCAAAAGAGAGGGAGTTTCCCAAATCCCCAACTGTGGGGGCGCCCACCCTCAGCACCTCCGTCTTGTCCGGGTTCAGCCTCAGCCCATTCTCCTGCATCCACTGCAGTACAGTCCCCAGGCAGCGCTGAAGGGACAGCTTAACTGTAACATCTTGGATGTCGGGACAAATTTCTCTCCTTTGTAGCTCATTTGTTCTTTGCAGGGATTCACTTTAAAACCTCCCAAAAGCCTCAAGTTATTTCTAACGCAAACACATGCCTTGTCATTTCTCATAAATTACTCAAAAATGACCTGAAATGAAATTCTACCCCCTCTGTACCTCACCAAATTCAATAGATACATTTGGCTCTAGGTACCACCATTTCCGCATAGTCAGGATAAGGTTGTACCTGTCTGCCATATTGGAGCTTCTCAAAAACTGAGATGGCAATCTTCATTCAAGCACAGATGTGGTTGAATACACAGCAATTGAAAACAAGGATTTTAGGGGCTTAGAATCCAAAGCCGTTGGACTGGATGGCCAATTCTGTCATTTGCAGTTTGCCTTTCAAACTATTTTTTTTTAAAAAAAACTCAAGTTCTTTCCATTCTGGATATAGAGATGTAAAAAGTGTTGGAAGAATCTGACTGAAAAGTGAACCGAAACAAAATGTCGACCCATCCCTAGTTCAATTCATGCTCTTCTGTAGATCTTCTTCTTCTTCCACCTCAAGGCCCAAAGCCCAGAAGTGTATTTTGGCTGGGGTGTATGCAGGAAGAAGGAGAGCTTTGGAGTCCTCCCAGATGGGAATCAGGACTAGATAAATATTGAGGAGATAGTTCTAATCCTGTAGTGACTAAGCACACAGCAGCGGGACTTCAATCACTCTCCATTTCCTCTTTTCAACAGTGGAGAAGTCAAGGATATATTTACTGTAGGGTATTTCCGCTACCCGTGAATATACATTTCCCAAGGGATATATGCTGACTGCGGCTGCCACTTGTCAGATTCAACAGACACTTGTCAGAACAAGTCAATGGGCTTCTTCCCTTCTGAGCACATTTCTGAAGTAGTTTTACTTTCTCATGTGGATTAAATTCCTTATGAACTCCCTGAGGACTATTCCTTCATCAGTAGTCAAGAGATAGACAGACAGACAGATAGGAAGATGGACAGATAGAAAGACAGAAAACATTAAAAATGTCAATTCCAGAAGATTACAAGAACCAATATCTTTCACTGATGAGTGAGCTGGCTAAACAAAGTTACAAGCACATGAAAGAGCCTTGTATTCTCTGTAAACGACTGACAACTCCCCTTAAGACTATTCTTTATTGGTTCTTGACAGGCAGGCAGACAAACAGGGAGGCAGGCAGACACAATTTTCAAAATATCCAGCGTCAAAAGATTAAAAATTACCTAACTTCAGAGAAGAAAAAAGGGAACATTACCAAGAAGATTATTTGGGTCTGTTTGATTTATGAGTTTACCAACCACAGATGCAAGCATGTGACAAAAATGCTATCTTCTCCTCAAAGTATTTTAGCCTGAGGCAAAAAGCTGAATATTCTTGCATATTTCTCTCTGCCTCGTGCCTTATTCAGACAATACTACTCACATGCACTCAAGAGCCCAATGTGAGAAAGGGACAAATTGGCACAATTACCATAGCACAAATATCTGAGAACAGATGGTTATTTTCCAGAGTTCTTTTCTTGTGGAAGTTGTTGCTGTGGTATTGAGTACAAACCTCAAACATTATATTGCTCGCACAAGTCAGTCCCTTGGGTAATATGTTAAATCTGCCATCCTCCAAATTTGTTTTGCTGTAATTCCCATGACCCTTTGCCAGCAAGGCCAATAGGGGAGTTGTGATCCAACAACACCTGGTGGCCTTCACTCTGCCCATTCCTATTTTTAATTTTTGAAATGTTGAATGTCAACAGTGCAGCTAATTTTAGACACTGGGTTGAAGGACCGGGGAGGGAACTCTAGACAGCCATGTGACGCACACAAACATTGTCCCCATACTAAAATGAGCATCTGTAACTAGGTATACATGTGGCCAGCTACACCCAGACTATGAAACACTTCTACAAGTAAGATGTAAGAGAGGATGCTACAGCAAGGATTGTCAGCCAATGCAGGCCCCAGAATATCTGTGACAACCCAGGTGCTGACTCCGGGCCCCTTTATAACTACCTAAGCCCCAATCTCTAGACGTAGGCGGCCCAGTGTCAACTGTAACATACAGGTGAATCTCAGCCTCCTCATCTTGACATTTTATATGTTTATCTGATTGTTTGTTTGTTTTATTTATAGGCTGCCTTTCTCCCAATAAATGCATATAGAAGACCCCTAAATATAAAGAACTAATAGTAAACCTCACACATCTCCTCTGATCTTAGCTCACCATTAGATTCCATGGTCAAAAGGCAAATTTTTCATGGCATTTAACATGATTTGAAAATAGGATCGTAATTCATAGTGCAGGCAACTATCTCATGCTCATTGCCTGTACACAGAAGCAAGATGACTACAAAGACTAGCTTGGCTGTTTATATGCATAATGTGCTTAATTACATGCACACTTTAAATTTATGACAAATAAGGTCCACATCTGAGATACATGCAAAGCAATATAGCTGTCCCAGAAGTCACAAACATTTTGTTTTGAAACTGTTGATATTCACCCCAGGACCTTAATTTGATGCACTATTGGGGTGCAAGTATTCTTACAGACATCTACTGGCTACATAGGCCAGAATTCAGAAAAGTTACTTGTTTAAACAACAAGTCACAGAACGCCCCAACCAGTATGATTCTGAGAAGGTGGTTACAAAAATGTAAACTTTTGAAGCTGTGTCACTGTTCCTTATTTGAGTCGTGCAATAGAGATCTCTTTTCTGCTAAAATACAGGACGTGAGACTTTGGAACAAAGACCAGGATCCTGTTGAGGCAAACTGCTTGCACAACATGAGTAGTCTCCCTTGCACAAGGAGACCCCAGGGCTTCCTTCCACAACCATAAGTCAAGTCTCCATAAAGGGGTTCTCTGTTTGTGGAGTGGCAATGCTTGTGCAAGCTCTGAGACTCCATATCACAACACTGGGATGACATTAAACTTCATTAATGTCCAACTGCATCCTAGCCTAAGGACTATAAGGATCCCAGTTGGCTTTTTAACTCCTCTTTATCTCCTTTTGTCTTTTAGATTACAAGCCTGTAGACAGGTTTGATATTTCTGGTCTTTCTAAGCCTCTCTGGGAGTCTTTTTGGCTGTGGAGTGGTGTAAAATTTCTTCA